TAAAATAAAATAAAATAAAATAAGCAAACTCATCAATAAAGGGAATTTATACTTGAAGCCCCATCAACACTTAGTCTTAGAGAAAATGCCCTTAACACATTTGAAATTTTCCAGGCCTACGCATTCGTATAAAGACTGTTACATTCGCAACCCCCTTAGAAGATGCACAATGCCAACAACCACATGCTCACATTTAACCAATGTGATATTAGGTCCACAGATGGATGTGGAAAGAAAATAAAAATAGTAAAAGAAAGTGTGTGAAGATGCAGGGAACATGGCCAAAATAAAGAGCTGTCTGCATCTGAAAAGTAAACAAGTCCCCTAAGGGTACACCAGTGTCAGATTCATCTGAGTGTGTTATTGTTTAAAAGACAATAGAAGACAGCACAAACACACAGTGATGTATTTGTGCTGGAGATGTCAGTAGTTTTGTGAATGTGCTGCTTGTCAATTTGTGTTTGCATGGCATGGGTTATCAAAGTTATGAGAAAACGAGAAACCATGTGAGAAAGCGATTAGTGCAGCCAATAGGGGTCCTACAGAGAATGTGTGATTAGTGTATTAAGCATGCATCAGAGCCCCTCCAAGCTGTCTCGGCAGAGGAAGAGCGGCTAGATAAATAGCTTTAATATCCCTGTATTGCGATAACGGAGCAACAGTTGTTTCCCATTGATAGCTTAGGGGTATGACAGACGAAGACACCGACCTTTGGAAAGCAGTATGACAAGCCCCCGCACCCCCATCCTCAGAAAGCTTGTGACCCATTGAGGCCCGGGGGACAATGAACCAGCGGCACCAGAAGGAAAAGCCCATGTATGTTAGAGGAACAAAGGCTAGCTGATGCACTGCACTCTCCTTTTATATCCTGCTGGGGGTAACCTGACCTTCTGCCAGTTGTTTCAACATGGTGAAAGCATCACCAGCAAGACACTGACCTCTAGATCCTTGTCCTCAAAATCCCCACCCCCACTCACTGAACTTGTGCACTCTGAAATGCACACACACAATTATCCTCCCTAAAGTTTGAAAATAATTAAAGAGAAAAAATGCAAATGTGTGCTAAAAGTTTAAATGCTTTTCCATTTTTTATCAGCAGCTTTTATTTTTTAAGTCTTGCATGCTGCCCTCATACCAACTCCAACTTAAGAAACAGAGACCAGAATATCAATATTTTTTTATGAAGAAATACTTTTTTCCCATCAAAACTTCATTATGAAAGAATGTTTCTTTAGTTCACAAAGAATCCAGCAGGCATTGATTCTATGTGCTGTTGTTTGTTCTTTAATATTCTTTATTTGTATTTTAAACTCAAACAACCTGAGTAACTGCTGGCTCTCTGAGTTTAAAAATACACTAACACTTTGAAATGTGTCATACAGCAGGGGAATTGCTGTATAATTCACAACATCAAATTATTTATGGACAAACTAGTCGAAAAAGACAGTTACATTTGAATAAAATTAAAAAAACATTAAACAAAGAAACTCAGATATTTAAGCAACAGTTTTGCAGATAATTTAAAAGGATTCACACTTTTTAGTTAGAACTTTTTCAGATAAAAAATAAGTAATGACATGAATTCAATTTATTATTTTTTTATTACACCAGACAGGTGTTTAAAATTGTATTGTCCACTGACATCAGAGAAATCTGAAAGGTGCCAATCTTTACTTTTTCTAACTTCTTTCTTCAGATATTGACACTCAAAAATAGCAAAAAGTAATCACAGTCATCTTCCACTTTCTATATACCCTCTATCTCCCCCCTTTTTCCGTCACAAAAGACGGATTTGAGTTGTTCAAGTGATAACTTGAGTGATGGCCATCTTGGGAAATGAAATATTTGCTGAAACTCTGTGCCCTTGAAAGTTAATTCAAAAGAACATAGGGGGTAAGGTGGAAACAGTGAAAGGAAGCGGTAATGAGTTTTGGGCTTTGGCTACATTTCACTTGTTTCTTTCACTCTGCCAGACAATTCATTTGACTTTTCAAAAGATATAGCTCTATTCCTTTTTTTTAAAAAATGACTTATCTTTTGTATATGCATCATTATTTTAAAAAATACTACTTTAATTTTTTTAATTGAAATGTAGCCTTGAAGTTAATCAATGTACTTTGAGGGTCATACTTCACAGATACTAAAACTGTAAAGGATTACGTGCAGTTTTGGAAGGAAGATTCTTCCGTTAGCATCAATATTTAATTAACATCAGAATAGTTTGTCTTTAGAGCTTAAAAAAGTGTTTAATAGAAAACAATTAGCAGCTATTTAGTAGTGAGGAAGTCGAGCTATACATTTCACATTAAAGACCATTTCCAYGCAAAGTATACTTTGTCAGAATGCATTGTGCAGAGAAATTTCTTAAAGGGGCAATATCATGTAAAATCAACTTTTCTGAGTTTTATATCATGTTATAATGTACTCTCATAAAAAACATGCCCAAAGCCTTGCTTTGACTCATTCATGCATGTTTGAGAAATCCTGCAGCGTTTTTAAGCAGCCAAGCTGGGGAGCAAAATGACAGGTGGGGACCAGAAACACCTTTTGGTACCAGAAACGCCCCTGGGACATGTCTTTAAGCCAAACTTCTGCATCACGGAGCACACCTCCCCACCCTCCACCCCACACACCCCGCCCATGACTCCAGCAGGCTCTAGGCAGTAACAAAGCAAACGAGTGAAAGTGAAAGTGAAACTTAACTGTCTGCTGAGATCCACTGCTTCTCACTCAGTGAAGCTCTTTTCAGATTCAAAAAACCTTTGAGGAAATGTATTTTCAGATGCCAAGTAAACTGCACCATAGCGCACTTGTGAAGCAACCCCCCCCCCCACACACACACACACACCCCACCCCAACAACCACCACCCCCAAACCCCACCAAAACCTACGGGGCAGAAGCGGAAGGAGGTTCTTAAAGAGACAGAGGCCAATTTCAAGCATTTAGAAGAGGAAGTGGTGAGAAGATACGTTTATTTTCTATTTAAACATAAAAACAGCATTTTAAAGCCAACTAAAGGTGACATACTGTAGATATTTTATTATGGTATAGTATTTAAATATACGCCTGAGAAACACATAATATTGGCCCTTTAAAAGTGAAAGTAAAAAGTATTCTTAGTTTAGCTTTAGACCAATTTATGAGTCTGCAAATTTTAATCAGTTGATATTGACCCCTTTTGAAAAAATCTGCAATTAGTAGAAAAATGAAGATGCAGCAGCAGCAGCAGCTACAGCTATCTTACTGCAGTCCACAATTTATTTTTTTTAAACATGAAAGCTCCTTGGTTATATTTAAGAGTAAATGTTCCTCTAAGAGTCATTAATATGTGCTTACTTAATTTAAGCAATTATTGTTAAGTTTAGTACATGAAAACTATGACCAAAAACTAAAAAGCAAAACGGTTGTTTCGTACTTGGTCTTGATTTTTGAAGATGAGCATCAGTGTCTGGCATAAAAAAAAACTCATATCAGTCAACCACTATCTTGGCGTTTGCATTCAGACTAAAACTTGTACCAAAATGTAACTACAGTAACTTTCAGGAGTCTGCTTCATCTAGCTTTCATTCTAGCATGAGACCACCAGGCTAAGTGACTTTCAATGCTCGCTAAATGACTGCATGCAACTCGCCACCTGTTTAAGTCTGTGCAACGCATATGTGAAAAGTGCTGTGAAATAATTATAACTTCAACAGATTCACCTTCTTTGCATCAGCAAACATGGATTGCTCCATCACTGGGTTTAGCTAAAGGCTTGCATGTGGTTGTAATAAATATTGCAATAAATAAGAAATAAAACAAAGTTGTTAGGGAGTCAAAAAACTAAGTTATTTTGAACTTTAGCTGCTGAACAATTCGTTGTTTGCAATGAATATATGGGCGTAGAAAACAAATTTATCCAAAGCTCCGTGATGTTTCACTTCAGACCCATTTTCCCACTTCAAGACAGCCAATTGCAGAACGCAGAGATGAGTAATTGGCAAGGTGTCAGTGGTAGATCTACACCTCTTCTTTGTTTTCACTTCTCCTTCTACTTCCAGCTCCTGCAGTTGAATGAGCCGTGTTGTGTTCTAGGCGGTAATTGCAAGAGGTGAAAAGGACCAAGGCTCTTTTCACAGCACCTGGGTTGGCCCAGAGGTTGCTACAGTCCCCACAATTTGAAGAGCTGTCTGCTTGAAAGTAGAGTTGACCCAGACAAGACAGAAGCTTCTCTTTGGCTTGWGGGAAGCACTGAAAGAGGGCAAAGGTTGCTCCTGTCTGCTCACATTGCATTACTAAGGCCTAACAGCAAATTGTCACTATGAAACTCACCTCTATGCCAAAAAGACGTTTTAGGAACCGAGGCAAAAGTGACCACAGCAAGGTTGGACAGTCATTGCCAATGGTAAGTTTGGATTTCAGAAGTGCAAAGGCTTTAGACTCCAGGCAAAAGAATCTCAGCTGGTTTTTGCCTCAGATAATAAAAAAGTGTGAAAACAGCCAAATGTATCTATCCCCCTGACCCCTTTATGTTGAATTGTATTTTGTTTTTGTATGACAAGCACATTATCTTACAATCTATATTTAGTTAGATGTATGCTCATCTCTTTTTTCACATTCCAGATACATTAAAAATCCTAAACCTCAGTCTAGTTCAAAGATGACTCTTCCTAAAGTAWATTAAACGTGTTTATATGACCCTTTTGATTTACTGTCAGTTTTATTRCTTAATTTTTTAAGAGAACAAAATAATGTTGACATACAAGTTATTTCGGCAGCTCCCTTCTGTAGGGATCCCCACAGTAAGCAAACCTTAAAATGTTTGGCAATTGTTTTACACCAGATGCCCTWATTGMTACAACCAGGGCTCAAACATGCAGCCTCAGGAAAAGACCACAACAACCATCATAGAGCTGCCGCAGCCCCTTAATCCTGCAAGTTTTACCTAATTTATCTATTGTGCAAAAGGAGGTCTGCAGTAGAGGTTTTTGTAAAATAAAATGATCATCGACTTTAACTTCTATTAACAAAGGCTTGTATCTAAACTACCATGGCTCAGTGTATGTTGCTCTGTTTGGAGTCTCTTGTATTTTTGCTGGCATGTGACACATTAAGAAAAATATGCAGATCAGAGAGCTCCTGGGGATCCACCGATCACTCTGTGCCAGATTTCCCATCTACGTATCTACTGTATTTTTTGCTTAAACAAATTAATTTCTAAGGGAGGATAATGTTCACTCCCCCTCTATAATAAAATGCAGTGTAAGCATATCCTATGTTTCACTAAATCCCCATTCTAATACTGTGTAATTGTAACAAAGTAAAGCGCACACAAATTGACTGCGACTGGACCTCCCAAGCCACTTGTGTTAAACCACCACATGAACTCCACAAAGCCGGTCATGTTGTTTAGCCGACAACCGAGGGCACTTAAATAAACATGAGATTTGAGGAAAACTCATTTAGGTTTTGAGCATTGCTTGCAAATGTAAAAAAGTTTCTTTGTTTGTACTATAACTAATCTCGTGAAATGCCCTGCAAGCATCTTTTTAAACGAACAGGAAATAATAATGTCATCAGTTTAAGCAGAATTCTGAGTGCTCAAGTAAGTTTACAATGTCTTTACAATGAATTAGAAATATTTGGTGATTTTAAACCAGGACTAAACAAGATGTTTAGAGTAAGTAATAAAACTTACTAAGAAAAGAAGTAGTAACAAGAATGCTAAGTAACTAGATGCTGGTATGCTAATAATTATTATAAAACAATTCAATTCAATTTCAAAATTCAAAAATACTTTATTGATCCCAGAGGGAAATTAGGTGTTGTTGTAACTCATTTAACTAAAGAATTATTGTATATTAATATTGTTTGTCCTCTTAATACTAATACAGTATGTTTCTTTGTTACAAAAACAGACATACAATTAGCAAATTTGATCTAAAGGGAGTGGTTTTTGGCCAAAATTTCATACAATTCCAATTGTTTGTCCAAAACTTTCATTTATGAACAACCAATTGCTTGTAACCTGTATCCACACTGTCCCACTTTCATATTCAAATACTGCACTCAAGCAACAAGGATTCATTGCTCAACTTATTTTCAACGGCAAATTCTTTGAAATGTACAATTTTCACAGGTGAGTTTTTCAGGAGATTAGAGAGAAAAAAATCAAAAGTATCCGCAGGCAATTCAAAGATATGAGAAATCCACAAGAATTAGAATTATTTTCTTGAAATTCTTAGAAATGTCACCTTTGTTGAATGTGTCCTTACACCCTAAATGTTCTCTTTCTTTAAAAAAAAAAAATACTGGAATACAACCAGTGTGAACATTTAGCTGTTAACTACGATATAAAAAAAATCATCTGTGCAGCAATCTAAACTTCMTTTGGCTTCAAAGAACTGATTTTGCTACAAATTTCAAAATACTGTTTGATGAATTAATCAAATGCTCACTTAAATAAATTTTCATCAAAACATTTACTTCTCCCATAAACAGAATGGATAAACTTTTAAGAGAAATAGCAGGTAAATAAAAATATTTGACTGTGTTTTAATATTTTAGAATACAGCAWAACTTCAAACCTCTCCATTTTGCACATAAATGCTGTAATGTGAATGTGTCAAACCAATATATCCTGCTACAGCCTGGTCTGAATATACAAATTATCTCAAAATGATATTCAATTGAAAGCTCAGAGCATTTCYATACCTGGGTATCAAAAGAGGAAGGCGGGATGGTGCTGGATTTGAAAGTCTAAACCACTGCAGTCCATTATCACTTCATCTTTAAATGGTCATGCTCCACACATTGGACCAAAGGTAACATTATGCCAACAAGGAATCACACAAGCCACTGAGCACTACAACTCAGATCCAACAGATCCAGCTGCCGATCAGGTTCATAATGGTACAGTAAGGTACATGTATTGTGCTCTACAGTATTTCTTTGTCCTCTACAAAGTTATCAGCTTCAAATTTTTAGTRATAAAATAGTGTCAAATAACTTGGTAAAGTTAAGATTGGAAACCACCATCTTCTGTCTCGGCTAGGGATGGGTACCTCTGACATTTGAATCGATTCGGTAYCAATATCCAGTACATGGAAATCGGTATCGGTACTCAACGGTACCAATTTTCTCTGTATTTTTGTGTTTTAATTCAACGTATTTAACGAATTTAATCAATATATAAAATTTAACAAATATCAAGACAACATGCAACTCTTTGTATTTTAACATCAGTTGTTGAACAAATTTCTAAGTGAAAACTCTTGAAAACAACTAACGCAGTGTTTTGTCTTAATGCACAAATTAAAATCCAAAAAACAAGCACTCCTCTTTCTCTAAAAAACAAGTTTTTTTTCTCCGACAACTTGGGTGTCACAGAAATTGGCCACTGTTATGTTTTATGGAAGGATTTAACTAAAAGAAATGCATAAAAATTTCATTCTTTTCATATTTTATTTAATTTCACCTTTCATTCTTAGTAAACTGGTGACAAAGTAGGGTTGGGCGATATTGACAAAAAAATTAATCACGACTAATTGTGGTATTTAGCCGATAATTATTAATTTGACGATTAATCCCCTGGAGTCCCTGGACACCCTTATGTCCTGGTCACATGACTAATTTAGTTGGAAAGATTTGCTCTTCATAAAAATCTGTTCCAAACTGTCAAAATTACAGACAGGCTATACATTCGGGCTATACATCAAATTTTAAATTGTGTTGCTAGATAAATAAATTTCAGATTTTTTATTTTATTTTATTTTTTTTTGCTCATTATATTTGAAGCGGAGAGGAGCACCGAGTGGACTGACCGGGGAAATATCTAGTCAATCTGCCTGGTGACATTAATYGTATTAATTGTCAAGCGCCAAAAAATAATCGATTAATGTTTTTCTGACGATTAATTGCACACGATACGATTATGCCCAACCCTATGACAAAGTTAAAGTTACAAGCAACTAAGCAATCCATAGTGCTCTCTCAACATTATATTAGGGTTGGGCAATATTGGCAAAAAAAATTAATCRCGATTAATTGTGTTATTTAGCCGATAAYGATTAATTTGACRATTAATCCCCTGGAGTCCCTCATATTCTAGTCACATGACCAATTTAGTGGGAAAGATTTGCTCTTCATAAAAATCTGTTCCAAATCGTSTCAAAATTAYTTCAGGCACAATTGTAAATTGTGTTGATAKATAAATTACAGAACTTTTGTTTTTAATATTCATCATATTTTAAGCAGAGAGGAGCAACGAGTGGACTCTGCCTGGTGACATTAATCGTATTAATCAAGTGCCAAAAAGTAATCGATTAATGTTTTTCTGACAATTAATTGCACACGATACAATTATGCCCAACCCTACATTATATACAAAAATCTAAGCAACGACATTTATTGTACAGCACTCAGTAGCGAGGTCTTACCTTTAGAGGAGTTACCAGTACTTCCTCGACCTGATATGTTGAAATGTATTCATCCARTCTTTAAATGCATCAACATCAGGGTGACCTCCACAGCAGCAAATAAAGGAGTCAATTCTGGGCAAAAGACAGGAAATCTTGTCAAAGTCAAACGTACAGATGATTAATAAACAAACAATTCTCTATAAAATGTCTGTCTGGGAGTCAGAGATGGACCAGGCAGAGCTGAGATTAGTTCATCAAGTGTCAGTGTTTTTTTTTTATTCTTTATTTTTTTAATGCACTGGGTTGTTTGAAAATGATGAGTTGCTCATCACAACTTCCCCAAACATCCACAAAACAAAAGCAGCCGCTGGCCATCATAGGTCTTATTGTCTCTAGTCCCAGACAATTGAGTGGTCTCTCATCTGAACTTTATCTGCCACACAAGAACTGTCGTTTACGAGTTTTACCAAGCAAACAGCGCCTTTGTTGCTGATTATAACCTTGATGTTGGCAGTGGGAATGATGAGTGTGTCCAAACAGTATCACTACCAATATATGTGTTGTGTGACCGTGGCTAGTGGCTACTCCTGACAGCTAAACGGATTCAGCTGATTAACACCTGTTGTTGTTGGTGGTGAAGAGCTGATATATCAGAGGTTGTTTCAGGCAGTTTTCACTAAGAAAGCTGTGGGTTTTCTTATTTTTTCAGTGGAACATGCCATCCACTCTATCAAAAACATTTTAAATGCCTGTATATTATAACTGTTAGGGTGCTAATATAATCGATAGCTGGTGCAAAATGCTAAATGGACGATGGCTAGCTTAAACACATCGAAAAACAGGTGAACTATAACGCTGCATGAACTATTCAAAACTCTTTTCTGGGAAATTAACAGTGGTACTTACATCWGCGAGGTGCATTATTCCTATATGTATGACTTTCCATGCTGCTTCAAATCCTGCTGTACATATTAAATGTCTCTAAAGTCAAACTCGGGTTTGTTATTTGGCTAGACGCCCCTAGTGGACAAAAGTTGCATTGCAGCACCAATAAGAACATGCTTTCCATGTTGCTGTGGCAAGCCATTTTAACATAAAATCGGATTTGTCTGACTATCTGATTACATTCTACAAGTCTAAAATTAGTTTTGACTAGGAACAATTACATTTTGACTATCTTGAATGGTAATTGAGGATATCTGTATTTACAATCTGACTTTTCAGAAGAATAATTCAAGATCTCAAATGACATCACTGGATTCATCATTTAAAGGGCCACCCATCCATGATTACAGTTCAAGATGTCTCAAATCTCATTATGACAAGTCAAGATTACATTTTATACTAGTAAGAATGTAAATAAAGATATCTTAGTTTACTATTATATCTAGTCATGAATCAATTTCTGATAACTGGAATGTAAGTGTTGTGAATCTGACTTGGCCTGCCATAAGTTGTGCTGAACAGTTTCATTCAGAGGCATCACATTTAATTCCTATTTCTAGAGTCTTCAGAGTCTAAATTTGGTTTTCAGTCACAGAAATAATTTCATTTTTTGAAGGTCTAGAAGACTACTTAATGTCAAAAGATGTATTWACATTCTTATTTACATACTGCGGGGTGAAACACTTTTAGCATGCAGTAAATTAGAAAACTCAACCTGACCTACTTTTAAACTAATACATGTTATGTACTTGGATCTTGATGTTTGTTAGTTAAAAAGGCACATGCATAGAACCCCATGCCATAACTTCCATCTCAGTGTTGAGCACCACACAATTTTAGCAAATATCATACCAATTACTGCATGTGTTTGCACCCAGGTATACAGCTGTATTCAAGTGTACACAACTCTAGAGAAATAGTTTACCATCTGGTTTAAATTAGGCAGAAAATTTCTTGGAAAAACACCACTGTTTCTCAGTTTAGATCATTTTTTCTTCTTCTTTTTAAATGAGAAATTTGACAGTGTTTAGGAACTAGCACTTAAAATTTCCTTTTTTTTCCACTGTGCCAAAATAATCTAATGTATAATACTTGAGAGGACTCGTGGATAACTCTGCTTTGAATATAAGAGTCTGATCGTCCTTACCTAGGAACAAATTTTCCCTCAAGGGACAAGATGTTTTTCTTTTTCATGTTTTTCAAATGGTACAAGATAAAACTATCATTTGCATTTTCTTGCTTTGAGCTGCGACCGGTGGCTCTGAAAACAATACTTCCAACGACATTTCACTGTTTGATTTGCTGCAGTAACCTTGGCAATTGCCTCAATCACAGAAAATTAATTCCAGTCATGGCACTCCCTCCTCCTCCTCCTCCTCCCCTGAGCTGCATCGGGTCTACATATTGTACCACTGGCCTCGATTCACCCTGACTATCAGCTACGCCCAAAGATTGTTCAGGTCCCCAGAYAGGTATCTGTCAGCTCCTGCTCTCGAAATGGGCCAGATTGTGGCAGAATTGGGCCTTCTTTATTTCCATWTTCACATATGATGTCAGAGCAAAGGTTGACTTTGCTTAATGAAGCTCAGTGTACAGGAGTATATAGTAGGCAGAAGGGGTTTTTTTGCCCCAAGATGTCCATTTTTTGCATTTCTGTTTAAGTGTGCACAGTGCACCAGAACATCAGGCCCATTTCCAAGGAGGTTGGGTAATAATAATTACTCCTTTGAATTTGAAGTTTTGCAAAGAGGCAGAAGCTGAAATTTACTACCATTGTGCTGAGGATTGCCACACCACTGACTTTTCCTATTCGAAGGGCCATGTAGTAGTGCTATCAACAATAGCGGGTGCTGTGATTCCAGGCAGGTAGTCTTATTACTGTTGCCTCCGTTTTGTGATGCACAATTAATGAGCCATCTCACACAGGTTAGACAAGGTCTTTTAAATACAGAGACATTTTCAAGAGCATTATTTAGAGTCTTATTTGTTCTGGCAGACTGGCCTCCTGCAGGATAAAATGTTTTACTCTTTTGTTCAAAGGATTCTTTTTCTTTTTTTTTTTTGGCAGTTTTATTAAAAGTCATTATCCAGATTCCAACAGAACTCTGTTGGGAAGAGTAAGATGAATTATAATTGACAATTAAGTGCTGTCATCTCACAGCGTGAAGGTCGCAGTTTTGTTTTTTTGTGTGTGTTTTGAGTTTGTACCTTCTCTCTTTGTCCATCTGGGTTTCCAACGGTTCAAAGACRGCAGATCGCAATTGAGGTAAACTTGAAACAAAAGAAAATTGTCTTGATGGGAGATCCACATTGTGCACAGTCTTCTGCYAAGTTTGAGTTTACAACACTCAGTAAGAACTACTTGGCAGATGGATAAGCGATGGGCAGGTCAAGTACTATGGAAGTAAATATGTGTTTATCTAGATGAGAGTTAAAAGAATATATTTTTTTTAGTAATTAAGCTTTTTCTTTTATGGTTTCTTTATTGCTGATTTTGTTAGTGGTTTTTTCTTCTTCAAAAACACGCATAATTTAGGGCCTGAATGAATTTGTGTCACAGGGAAAATGATGTATGTATGCYCGTGTAAAGGAATGGTGACTTGGGGGAGGTGGGTTGAATCTACAGTGGGAGGTTGTCTCAGACCAAAGGCATCTGTGTGGGAGTGGCTGTAATTGGCTGCAATGTGGCATTGTCTCATTAATATGTGGCCCAGGGGAAGGAGACAGCCAACTTCCTCCCTCTGTGTTTGGTTGTTTGACTGTATCTCCATTGATGCTAAACGCGGAGCTCCCGGGGCACGCCACGCTTTTCTGCCTGCTTCGTTAAAACCAAGAAAATGAATATTAATGTTGGACAAGCTGGAAGCTTCAGTAACAGAAGGGTGTCGTAAGTCTGAAAGGCTGTTACCCCCTGATTTCTGGATGAGTTTAATGGAGTCTCTTTGAGACAGTCCCATCCTGCAGGATGGCATGTTCYATCAGTGTGCTGCTGACACTTTAATTTCCCTGACCACGAAGTACATTGGCAACTATTAAATGCGTCGGGCAGTTGGGAAACAGAATATATGACTTAAATATGTTAAATAAAATTAAATGTAATAATGTGACCACAAAAAATACAAGAAAAAATGTTTTAAAATATATTTTACTAAATAATCCAATAAAAATATAAGTAAACCAGTCAGCCACTTGTGGGCTCTGTTTTTATTTTTATTTTTTATTTGCTATTTCTTTCAGCATTTCATGTATGCAGATACAAGAAAAATTATAATCTGAGACTTTGGTAAATAATGTGTAAGCAATAACATTTCTGACAACACTGCTGCCTTTCAATTTACTTCATACCACACACATCAAACAGGACTGTTAGTTCAAACAGATATAAGTAAACACAGACAGTACCAACATTCTTTAGCTGATGAGTTTGGATGAAGGAAATTTGATTTTTAAAATGCATATTGATCTTTCTGAGTTGTTAGCTCATCCTAGGAGAAATTGAAAGACAGAGGAACTTGTCTGATATATTTGATTTTTTTCAACTCCTTAGTATATTCCTTGCAAAGAGAAGTTTAGCAAAACTAAGATGGCTTGAAATTATATTTAGACACACCTAAATGCTTTAAACAATCTGTACGAACTTCAACTTTGATAAAAATGCACATGCAAGCTTATTACATTAATTAGTGCATTTAACTGGCAGCATCTGAGTCAGAGTAAGAATTGTACTTACTTTTTCTACTCTTACTTAATCTGCAATTTGACTTAATTTTTGTTRTGAATGATAATTTTACTCAACAAACCAAATCCACTCATTCATACAAAAAAATTTAAACTGAAAGCAAAAAATGATTTGAAACTGTTTTTTTTATTAGAAATTACTTGTATCAAATCAAATAATAATGGAATGCCATTGTAT